AATCATGTTTATCAGGCATTTTGGGAGACACAACAAGTGAATATGTAAATAAATTATCCATCAATATTCTTATGAAATATTAGATATTATTAATAAAATGTTGCCAATTATTACTCCAATTATTACACTTCTTTTTTCATTAAATGTAGGTTAAACATTCAAACTAACATTGTGATATGCTTGAACTGTTTTAAATATAGATTTTATTTTAGGCAAGTCGTGATGATTTGAGAAGAATTTGTAGTTCCCTTTCAGTCGGTCACTCTCGACGTCACGTCGGAGGACCGACGAATTGGGATCTCGCTTAGAGGGACCAATCTACTTCGAGTGTAAACTAAACGAGCCAATGCACATTGGCATGCGATTATTGCATCCAGCTGCTGCTGATCACAGCGTGAGTATAAGTAGGCAGCAGGTGCAGCGCATATTCAGCTTTTCGCTTCGGAGCCGAGCGATCACATCGTTCCGCTCCTGACTACTCTACGGAGAGAAGACTGAACGAGTTCAGCACGCTCTTGGAGAGCTCTTCGTGTTGGCGGACGGCGCTTCAGCGGTGGTGGTTTTCCCGTGTCGAGTGGGTTGCACACATCAGGCTGCACTACCCCCTGATTGTGTTGCAAATGATCATCTCCCCTGTGCGCCCAGCACGCTAAAAGAGCTTTTTCCCCTAAAAGAGCAATTTCGGGTGCGTCTTTCTAAAGACGACGTTGCTTGGCAAACTTGACGTTACGTCTTTATAAAGACGATGTGGGTCTTGCTATAGACAACGTATCACCCGGGCGTTCTGGATGTGGTCGTTACCTGGTCACGATCGCTGCCTCTCGTGGCTTTCGTGGATGGCTCATGCTCCCATTGCGGGGGTATGAGCATCTCGGAGTTGCGGACCGGACTCCGTTACCTGCAAGGGGGCGGAGTGCCCATGCCACTGCCCAGATCTAGGGTTCCCTCTGGTGGCAGCCGGGGGCGTCCTTCTAGCGGTGGGCGGACTGGTCTTACGGTCACGGTGAGGAATTCACCTCCGGGGATGCCCCAGCCAGCCGGCACTCTGAAACCAGCAGAGCTCTCAAAAGAGCAGGCTGGACCCTCCCGGGGGGTACCACCTGTTTCTTCCGAGGCTCCCCCCGACGATCAGATGTCGAT